AGTAACGCGTTACAAGTAACGCGTTACTGCCCATCTCTGCTCTCTGGGCACTATGGACTGCTGCAACTTATCAACAACCTGCGCAAACACCTTTGATGTAAAGTTGGTTCCTTGGTCAGTTTGAATAGTCTTTGGGAGCCCGAAGGTAGAAAGAAACTTAATTAGTGCCTTTATTACCATTTTGGCTGTGCCTAGTGGAATTACCAGTAACCTAAAGTTGTCATTCCTAGCATTTGTTTTGATGTCTCCCTACAGGAAATGTAGACCTCCGTATTGCCAGACAAGCTTATCTCAAGCAATCACAGAAATAGCCAGAAGCTCACCTATCCCAGATAGCAAAATTGGTATGGCCCGGATCTGGCCCACACAATGTGCTTACACATGGCCCACATACCGCAAAGAATGATGACCCTTTAGTGGCCCAGATCTGGTTTGCCAGAGGTGGCCCACACATGGGCCAGCACAAGGCCAGTTGCAGATGCACTGCTGGACCTGTGATGGCCCAGAACAGTTTCAGCTCTGGGCCCACATGTTAGCCTAATGTGTACCTTCATCAAGCCATGTAATAACAACATGTGCTGGAACATAATAGTGCAAAAGTAACATGACAAAACTCTGTTCAGACAGTGAACGGATTTATTCTTATATAGTGCTTTTCTACTCTCCTGGATTACTCAAAGTGCTCTATACAACATGCCACATTCACCCAATCACAGACTTTCTCTAAACTGAGTACTTCCTAACTACATTCATACACATTCACACTCTTAACATGCACACTGGAGGAGCCAGGGATCGGACCACTACCATTCTAATCAGTAGGTCTACCTCCTGAGCTACAGCCACCCAGTGGTAAGCATGAGTAAACCTTCACTAGGTTTTGGATAAAGTGCACACTCACAAACCTGTCAAACCTGCCTTTAAAACGTTGGCTACCATAGCAGTATAGTATTGCAACATGGCATTTGGGTCTTCTAACTAAAATAGGAAAATAGGAACATAAATAGTGCAATCACTGCCAGACCTGGCCCACATCTGCTATGACACTAGTCATACAGAAGTGCCAGCTTGATGCCGGATCCACGGAAGACCTGTTTTCTATGAGCCTGGGCCACACCACAATCGGGCCACATGTGGCATGCCATCACATAAATAGTGCCATCTTTGCCAGGCATCTGGATGACATACCACTTACCATGCCAGAAGTCAGCCAGCAGTGCTGGCTTGACACCAGATCCGGGCCAGACCTGTCTGCTATGTGGGATCCAAGTGAGGACCCAGTGCCCAGCACTGCCAGCACAGCTTGTGGCCCCAGACTTGAAGCCCTTGCTTAGTGATACGCCTTTCCTTATAAGTACCTGCCCATGTAATAAAAAGCCTTAGTCTTGTCCAAATATACATGCAAAATTCGAACAGTACAGAGCATATGCAGACTTTGTTCTTCTTCAGAAGAGAAGGGGGGTGGGAGAATGCTGACAGGACAACAGACACACATGCCCCACCACCTTAAGCACATAGGCTGGGTTGGGCTTTAGTGACACCCTGGTCTGCCCAAGGATACTGAGTGCATGATGGGTGTGTTGTAAGTGTGTGAATGTCACTGACACATTTAGCGGAGTCTAAAGCTAGCAGCAAAGCTGTTTTTGAGCCCCAGCTGGTGCCAGCCTGAGATTCGGCTTCCACGAGTCCTTCCTTATCGGCACTATCAGCGGCAGTTTCACCTATGGGCAAGAAGGGGTCTGTTCCCGACAGGCTAGGTTGGTGCGCTAGCCATCATTGGAGACACTTTTTGTTGAACCGGGCACAATGCGGACATGAACCGCAGGCTTCAATTGCAAGTTGGGCATGTTCCAGCCTGAGACAACACAAGCAGTTCTAGTATGTGTCCTTAATCAAGATTCTGTTGCCGCATATGCAGTGTCGAGAAATGTGTGTGTGTGTGTGTGTGTGTGACACAAGACTAACCTCCTTGAAACCCAACATAGGAAGTTCCACCCTCCATGCGCGGTAGTTTGATGACAAAGTACACAAATGTCTTTATGGCATCAGTAGTTTGACACTTGTTTACTTCGCTGAAGCATGCATACCTTAGGAATCCGAGCAATAAGTAAAAGAAAAAAAGAATGAGAGATGTTGCACTAATGTCAGCAAGTTATACAAAAGTAAGGGATGGTGTGATGATCTTCTCACTCACTTGGCTGAGGAAATAATATTCTTTTTGTCAAATCCTTCATCATACTCTGCTTGGATAATGAGGACTTTGTCTGTGTGTGTTGAGCCCAGAAAATCCCTAGTATTGAGACATAAATATCTTGTTATATTGTAATTAATATGTTTGAAAAAACCAGAATCATAACTAAAGAGCATGTTGATCCGTACATCTATTACACAAGTATTCATTGTAAACACTTTTAATAAGAAGGATCACAAGATATTAAACCACAAGAGTGTGGAAAAAGGCAGTTAGTCAGTTTGATTAAAATGAACACCTACAGATCATATATATTTTCTTTATATGCATACCTTATTTTTTTGAGGAATGAGTACTGAGTGTCAAACTGCTGCAGTGAAAGCAGCTGAACAGCATCAAGGTTTAATAGGCTCTGCAGGTGTTGAGTATCCACGGCAGTGAGTAACCTGGAAAAGGTTGTAACCTTGAAAATGCCAAAGGATTACAAAATATTACACTCAAATTTTTATTTCCCAAGAGTAAAACAGAAAAAGCCTCATAGTGTGTGTATGTGTTTTATGTATCTTTTACATGTAATCCTGTAAAATGTATAATGCATACCATAAGCTGCTTGGAATTTTGATACTCTCTCGTTAAACAAATTCTCTTTCTGAATTTCAGGTTTTCATTCACTGAGCCCTAGTGAAATTTTAACTATATTTTAATAATATCAAATAAATATATTATTTGATATATATATATATATATATATATTAGGGGTGCAACGATACACACAATTTACGGTTTGGTTCGATACTTTGGTGTCACGGTTCAATATTTTTTTGATACAAAAAAAATGTTCTTGCCTTTTTAATTTATCATTTATTAAAATTAGAAATATATATTTTAACTCAAAATAATAAAAAAAATAAATCTATCTGA